GTAAATACAATGATCATATGAAACCATGTCAATGAGCATAAAGTTGAAAAGGTACGGATCATTAATAACTCTAAATGAAGAAGCCTGGAGCATGGATTACTAAAATCACATTTAAGCAGCCAGATATTTAACAATTTTCAGTAAAACTGTAAAAGATTCAATGGAACAACATAATCAACCATCCATAGTCCATACATACTGCCTTACAAAAGAATAGATTGAGTTGATACAAACATGGTTCRAAGTATCGATACGATACGCCCGATACGGGGCATATCGTATCGTATCTTTTGAAAAAGATACGGTCCGAAACGCCTGTTTCCAGGTGTTTCAGACCCCCCAATCTTTTTAATAATAAAAAATATCTTATAAGCTTCCCAAAAACTAAACTTTGAAAAAAATAACTAAAAAAAAAAAGTATGTATCAGCCGTTTCTAAGTACCGATACAATACGACCGAAACTCGTATCATATCGATACTTTGAACCTTGGATACAAAAGCTCAGGTAACATACTTCTATTGGTTCCAAATGTAGTATATGTTCCACCAGAGAGCATGTTTCAAGTGTCTCATCTGCATTCCATATTGACTTTGATTGCAGCAAAGTACTATATTCATGGTCCAACACTAAGCAGGTCAGCTGCCATCATTGAAATGTATCAAAAACTCAGTGCTAGTATCCATGAATCCATCAACAGAAGTTACATCTTCTCAGTTTCAGATGTTCAGCACAAAAACACAATGTACTTACATAGGAAGACATTAAAGAAGTACATCAAAATACCTTAGACAATGCGATTATGTCAGCCAGATGAAGAAAAGTTACAGAACCTACAAGACAATAGCAATCAATTAAAGTTTCACAACCAAAAAGAAAGAGGTTGATCATGAGAAATGGAGATTTTGCTAGAGATGATCTAGACAATAAAATCAAATTGAAGGTGGTACAGCAGAAATTAGCTACCATTAAAATCAGTGACCACTTTTCAAGAATGTTAGTTTCTCAAACGCATTACAATAAAAGAGTGCCAGAAAGATGATTTCAGAAGTAGTTATTAGAAGGAATAAACTTCTTCTTTTTGTTTTGTCATTTAGATGCAGAGAGAAGCAGCTTGCCAAATTTCCCTTTTTTTCATATTATGAAAATGTAAAGTGACTCTTCAATTCAGGAAAGTAAGCAAAAGCTACCAATTTCCCTGCACTATACAACCATATCATATAAAAATCTTCCTTCCCAACAAATTTGCATCATCTCAGTCTTCAAGGTGCACATATGAGATATTCAGACCAAAAAAATGTATATTTGTGATATTTTCACGTTCAACGACCAAAAATGCTCCGTACAAGCCTTCTGAAACACCCAAAATTATGAGTTAGCACCAAAAGGACTGCTTTATAGGCTTATACCAAGTTGACACTGTAATTTACTCTAAATGAGTTGCAATCAGTATTTCTTTGAGCATTCTATAATAACTTTTCTTCCAAATGCTATTTTGTTCACATCTCTAATTGTAGCATTTAAGATTTTCTACTTTATGGAGCATATGTATGCATGATGTAACATTTCCTTTACATAAAGTAAATCTTAAGCATAGCATATGAGATTTGCAGAATAGGTTTTTCTTTAAGTTATAGATGTCTCCATATATTTCTGTACACTACATCTCAGATGACTGTCAAGTATATTTTATATTAATGTTAAAAGATTGATTGATTTAAAATATTGCAGTGAGAGAAGACATAAGCCTACTCACACCAGTAGAGTAGAAAAAAGAAACACTAAACTACCTTCTTTCATATGTCAAGAATCAAACTATTATTAATTAATTGCATAGAGGACCATGAGAAGATTAAGGTATCCAACTGCAGTAGATTATCTTTTCTTCTTTTCCATGTTAATCAAGCCAAACATGATTCTCTTCTGTCACATCTCCACTATGGTGTCTTTGTTACTTTTTTCCTTGTGATGAATGCTAGCAGTGGCAGAACCTTTTTTGTTTTTTGTTTTGCAACATTTAGCCCCCTGTTGCATAACTCAGTAGTATGTGAATCTCTCAAAGTAAGGGTGTTAAATGTTGCAAAAAAAGTACATGGACTAATTGGTGCACTCTTAAGTACAGGGGGTCTTTGTAATTTACACTTAATATTAATATAATTGTTTATCTTTACTTGCAGAAAACAAAAGAAAATAGAAACAGTTCAACATCAACAATTGATCCCAAAAGTGTATTATTTGAAAACATGAAATACAGACTATTATAACCCATTTTTTCTTCTATAGAGAAAGCTTTCTATAAGGCAAAATTGTAAAATATCAGAACCCCTTTATGAAGTAGCTCCAGGGTTAGAGAGGCTTTGTTTATTTCCAACTTCCAAGTAAAAAGATGTGCAAACAAAGTTTTTGCTACAAAATGGGGCAGAAATATAATTGAAATGTTTCAGTTGATATTCTTCCTCCCTTTAAAACAATGAAAGAAAGAGAACCTCAAGTAGAGGTATCATGTAAAAAAACCTAGCAAACAAAATACTCTAATTAAAAGAAACTACGAATTTGGCTTCTCACCATAACCAAAATAATCATATTTTTTCAATTGAAATTCTGGACTTTTTTCCTCATCCGCGTCGACAGAACCCCGAACTTCAGCCTGCCAATCATGAAATTAGAGATGTGCACATCAATGGTCAATAGGTATCACTCCATTGAACAACTCATGCGCCTTGGCAAATAAATTATCAATGCCTTTGAACATGTCTTGTTTCAGTTTAATGCAATACCTTACCTTTTCTCGGGAGAAAAAAAAAAACAACGCAATTTATACAAATATTTAAGATCAATGTTTTTTAATTTACCTCTCCTTCCCATATGAAATATATTCCATCCCCAGTTTCCCCCTCTCGAACAACGTACTCACCTTGATCTACAAAAAAAAAGGCAAAAGCATAAGCAAATAAACATTAAAAAAATCTAAACCTGTCACCTTTGAATTGTGAAACATTAAAATTCGAGTATGGCAGAAGAAGAAGAAGAAGAAGAAGAAAAAGAAAAAGAATCTCGACTAACCGTAATGTTTGACTCTGACGACTTCGGCAATCTTCTTGAGAGATGAACTAGGGAGCTTCTGTAACAAAGGAACGTAACCTAGGAACTCGATAACTGCCCAGGAAACAGTTGCAGTTAAATATCGTTTGTGAAATTCAAACACTACCGAAACATCTCCCCAACAATAGAAGAAGTAAAGATTGCAAAATGTCGATCGAAAATAAGAATTCTACTTCACCTGCTTCGATGTCCATTTTAAGGTCCAGGAACGTAAATCAGGAAATAAGAAGCTGAGTGCCCATGCTTCTGCCTATCAGTTCGTTATTTGTAGACGGTAGACCAAAACCAGAACTTATGGCGTTTAATTTCTAGAGTTAAGTACCATATGTTTCCTGATTTACAGCCTTGCATTGGGAATATCTCTACACTCATATGTTTTATTTCATGGTGACATATTCCCGATGCAATGCAAGGGTGCAAGACGCGGTTGGGATGGTGTGAGCATGGGCTTCCCTCTGATGACCTGAAATCGATGCTATGTTAAGAGCTGTTTAACTAATAATAACGCCACACGTCGGCTCCTATCATACCGTTCTCCATTCCATCAAAACTATTTGGCCCTTTTTGTTGTTTCGTTGGGTATAAACTATAAAGTGACCGCTCTCTGTACTTCGAGCTCGCACTACATTAAGAAAAAAAGTCCGAGATTTCACCAATGATGTGTTTGGTTTCCCCTGCCTTTTCTTTCAAACCAATCACAGCCAAGGTAACAAATACGAATCAACCGCCCTGTACTGCTGTACGCCCGTTATTGAGGTTGTATTCGGTATGTTGCTGTTGAGTATTAAAATATCGATACGGTATGTTTGATATAGGGTGTATCATATTGATATCAAACCTGACTGGCACAGGATACGTTACGACTGGAAACATACTTTGCCACGACTGGAAACATACTTTGCCAATCATGCGTATCGGTCCGATATGCTATTGTATCGACGCATATCGTATAATATCGAATGTTACAATGCGATACACACCGATACAATAGCGTATCGCATGTCTGCATCCATCCCATCATATAAACCGCATCTCACTTAACAAGGTTGAGGCCCGCGTGATTCAAACATAGAACAAACCTTACTAAAGTAACCAGGAGCATGTCTCTTCAACCACCAAACCACTTACAACCAAAAATCAAAGTATCGGTATCAGGTATCGTATCGAACAACTTGGATACAGATATGCTTAGAAACGCATGGATACGGGCAAAAAATATAGAAACGCTTGGATACGCTAGGAAAATGCACAGAAATTTTATAAATATATTAATAATATTAAGTTTAATGTCAAAATAATATATAAATACATAGGAGCTTTATATTTTAATGGTATATATGAAGAAATATAATACAACTAATATAGAGAGATGCATAGATATTATGCAATTTTATTGATAGTACATCAATCAAGAATCTAAGACATATTAAATATATACTTAGAAATTAATACATGCACAAAGTCATTATTATTTTATTTCTATTAAAGTCCAATGTACAAAACATATGCAACTATTCTTTTTGAATTACTATATCAATATTTCTATTTTACTAATTTTATTTTTTAATATCAACAAATAAATTCTCAAATAAATATGTTATTATAAAATATAAAGTAAAGTATTATATAATAATTTATAAAAATATATAATCTTAACTTAAAATATACCAAATCTATTAAAATTTTAAAGATATATATCATATTAAAATTCATAAATTTTAATTACTAAAATAATTATTCCATTATTAATATTTTATTTTATAAAATTTCTAAAATACAAAATTATTTTATTTTTATATAAATGTAGATTAGTGGAGTTGAGCAATTCAATTTATGTTATATTCTCAAATATTTTGTAAATAATTTTTTATTTTTTTAAATAGTAAAGACATTATTATTTAATGCAAATTAATAATTTATAAAAAAATTGAATATATATATATAATGTGAAAATTTATAAATTTTAAATATTAAAATAATTATTCTACTAATAATAATTTTATTTGTATAAATTTCTTGAAATTAAAAATCAAATTTTGGTATATATGTAGGTTTGATAAATTATTTATTCCATTGTTCATAAAATATTAATTTTAAAAATTATTCTTTTTAATTTATAGTTGGAATTGTTGATATATATTATTTATTTGGGTTACTAGACGTTAATGTAATAAAAATTAATGTGTTTCTTTTTTATCAAAAAGTTGTAAGTGGCTTGGTGGTTGAAGAGACATGCTCGTGGTTACTTTAGTAAGGTTAGTTCTATGTTTGAATCACGCGGACCTCAACCTTTTTAAGTGAGATGTGGTTTATACGATGGGATGGACGTGGATGCATAACACGTTGTATCGGTGTGTATCCAGATTGTATTGCTCTACTATACGATATGCGTCGATACAATAGTGTATCGGATTGATACGCACGACTAGCAAAGTATGTATCCAATCGTAACGTATCTTATGCAGGTACGATACGCCCCGTATCGAACATACTGTATCGATATTTTAATCCATGGTTTCTGCTTAGAAACATTTGGGTTTAATTGATACAAATTTTTGATAAAATAAGTCATTCTACGTCAATGTTTTAGAACCGCCATTGACCCCAACAGTCAGACCGTTCGGCTCGAGAACCATCTAAGCAACCGGTTCTGTTTTACACCAAACCCGTCTCCTAGCCAAAAGTTGTTGAATTGGTCAACAATCCATTGACCCAGGTAGTTGAATCATCGCCTCGTTTGGCTCGTTCAATAGTTTTTTGCCATTTTTTATTCTAATTATAGTTTTTAATTTTTTTTGTCAAAATGGGTCATTCGTTTGAATTGGACGGTTGAACTGTTGACCCGAAAATTGGTGGCCAGAATTATTCCAATTCCATCTTGTTTTTTAAAAACATTGCTTTACATAAAAAAATTCCATTTTTAGTATAAATGCTTGAAGGTACCATTTCCATGTCTTCATGCAACGCCAAATCTGTTGTTTCTATTATAAATGCCAACACCAATGCAATGCATATATTTTGTCAGTGGAAGTTGTTTTCTTACGTGACGTGACAAGATAATTTCTCAAAAATTTGTATTGATAAACCCCAAACATTCCTATTAAAACAAGGTTTTTATTACTGAATCCACCTCATAAATTTGTATTGGTTTGTACCGTTGGAATAATGACAAGTTTGGGAATAAATCAAAATTAAAGGAGAATAGTGAATCATAGGTGGAGTGGACCATAAATTTCTAAAACGTTTTCAATATTGCAAAACACAACCTGAATCATCTGATTTATATTGTAGTTGCAAAATTTAGATGAATCAAATAAAGCACATATATGGCGAAAACTGTGTCACCGGTTCAGCTTCAAAAAAGACCATTTCAATAACTGAAACGTGAGCACCCTTACACTAAATAACCGCACAATGCCAACTAAGGGGTGGCTTAATTGATATGATAGCTTATTCAATTTCAGCAGAGATGAGGATTCAAATTCCACTACCACCAAATTTAGGGAGGGTTACAAGTGTGGTGTTGTGCTACTCAAACAACTCGTATGGGAATTCGAGCAAAAATCAAATACCAAAAAAAAGAATAACCACACAGTCCTTGCATGACACCTATTTTCATTTTTAGTTAAGCTAAGCAAGTAGTAACACTTGGCCGATGTAATAGAGATAGGTGTCACATGGTAATTGTATGCTTGGTCAGAATGCCCAACAAGTATTAGCATGAAATCTAGACTCATTATGTCATCCAAAACGTTATTTCAGGAAAGTCCAACTATAGTGCATTTCAAATATTTAGTACACGTAGCATCAAAATTACAAGCAATCGCGTTAAAGAAACCACATGGTCTATTTACTTTCTGTTGGTTAGTGTGTCACAAAATGTACCTATTTCAAATAATCGTATAAAATACATCACATGGTCTATTTACTTTTTATTGGTTCATGTTTCACAAGGTGTTGGAGAACTTGTTGCCCATTTACTTTCATTCACAAGCCCCGAGTTGTTTAAAAGAACCCTAGTTTTTCTCTATATTTTCCCATTTTACCTTTTGTTTTCATAACTTGGTATTTTTTCTTAGTTGTGGAAGTTATCAACAATATGTGTTTTTAATGATAACAAACACATTCAAAGTACAAATGGTATGTATATTTAAGTGTGCAACATCTTTAGTAAGTTTCTATGTGCTTAAGTGATATAAAAAGCCAGATTGCTACTTATGATCAAGAGAAATCTCTACTTAGTAGATGTTTATGCTTTAATGTGTATCTACACCATCAACACTCTAGAATAAGGAAGCTGCAAGAAATTAGACATTGAGACTGTCAATGAACTTAAAGGCTTTGGATCTATGGAAGGTTGATCTACTATGACAACTTAGCAAGGAGACAATACTTTTACATCAAGTTGCAATTAATTGTTGTTTATCGTTTTTTAAAGTGTTGATGTAAATCAATTGTGTGATACACCTCATAGATGCTCAACAAGACTAAACTCAGTCACCCTTAGAAAATATAATCCTTTTGGTTGTGTTTGGTTTGAAGGAAAATGTAGGGAAAGGAAGGGAAACCTTTATAAACCATGTATAGGTTTCCCTGCATTTTCCTTTAAACGAAACATAGCCTTTGGGTTTGGTTCTTTGAATTTTCTAAGCTTACACAAGTTATGAAAGTCATAAAAATATCTTTGAAATTCAAAGGAAAGGTTTTCAAACCTCTAGGCAAAATGTGCCAAGGCTTCTAATTGATTGGGGCTATCTATTAGGCAAGTTAGACCTAACTCTAAGAAGTAGTCAACTACTCAGGTTCATTGTCAACTAATTGTGACAGCTAAAGAAGCATGCATAGCCAAGACTGTGAGAAGTAATCGACTACCCAGATTCATGTGTTGACTAACTATGGCAATTGAGGCATGCAAATTGCCCAGTTTGAGATGTGTCGACTACTCAGACTGTCTAAGTTCACATGCTTACTAGTCAACTAATAAGGAGGAACCAATCAACTAAAGGAGAAAAAAGATTCCTCCCTTTGTGTTGTGGTCAACTATTGGAACAGTGTAGTCATCTACCACAAAGAATGACCATTTGAAAGCTTCAACAACTACTACTAAAAACGGAAAGCCATCGCACAAGTTGGAATAAATTTAAATCATTTCTTGAATGAGTAAATGCCCTCCAACAACAATAAAATGGTTACTTTCTCTCAATCATTTATAAATACATGTCTCAAATTGATTTAAGAACACGAAAAGCAAGATCAAGTTTTAAATCAAAGCTTGTGAAAAACAACTTATGATGGGGGATGATTTGGCATGACCTAATAAGTAAAAGACACGTGGATGTGGCCCACTAGCTAGACGACAAATCAGTATGTAGTGCCACATCAGCAGATCGCGAGACCTCAGGTGCTCAGTCACTTCAGGGTTG